AGGTCCTAGGAAAGTTTGCTGACTAACTTTCTAACTGGACATATTCTTTTCTATCTAGTGGAGGGAGAGTTACCTTACTTAAAAGCATCCTCACTACTTTTCCCTCCTACATATTAAAATGACCAAAATGAAGAAGAGTGCCCAACTGTAGATGGAAAGGTTATTTAATAGGTTCCTTTGGTCGGGTCAAAGACAATAGTTTCACTGGGCCAGTTGGCAAAAGGTGGCAAAACTAATTACTGTTGGAGGTTTGGGGTTTAAAGGTTTGCAATAGTTACAACAAGTGAACCTTTGTAAGATCTAGATCAAGTTCAGGCAGCAAGATTCACTATGGGCCAAATTCATGTTGGGGAAATATTATAGAGCAAACCATCCATCTTTGGTCAATAGAAAGATAGGTGACTCTAAGACCTAGATCAATATACTAAAAGTGAGAAGTTTGGCTGAAGACATTTTCTTATGGGGCCTTGGACAAGGTAAAGTTCAATTTTGGCTAGACCACTGATGTCCAAAGGAGATGTTGCAACCCATTTCTGCTGACCTTAATCATAATCTCAGGGTTGTTGATTGCTGGGAAGGGGATTAATGATCATTGGCCAAACTTAATTTTTTGTTGGAAGCTTCTTGTGTTCTGAACATCTCCACTGTGAAGTTTGATAAAACAGGCAGGAAAAAATTAAATGGCAAGCCAACTCCAATTAGAGTATCACAAAGTCCATTTACTTGAAACTAAATATATGGAATGATGTCCCTTGGGGAGGGGCCATTTGGAACATATTTTTATCCCCTTCTATGTCATTCTGCTGCTGGAGGATTTTTTAAAAATTAATTCCAATTGATGATATCTTGAAGAAGAAGGGCCTGAGAGGCCCATCTAGATGTTGGTTATGCTACTCTGTTGAGGAATCTATATCTCACCTATTTTTTATCTCACATGTTTTTTGAATGTGATTTCTCACAACAGGTTTGGAGAGAGCACACTAAGCTGCTTCTGTTGAACACCCTTAACCTACAATGGTTCAATCTGCTTTCTTGTTGGAATAGCTGGAAGGCAGCTAAGACTAGCCCCATTCCTTTCATTTTCTCCTAATTCCTCTAGATGACAAGAAATCATATAAAATTTGATGAAGGTAAAGCCGCTGCTAGCCAAGTGGCCAGAAACTGTATTTCCTACCTGCTTAAATTGATCAAACATGAGTCCTTCCTCCAAATATGCACCGTAAAAGTGGCAGACCCTCCCTCCTTGCTCAAAATCATTAAAGTATATTGGAAACCTCCCTCTCAGCCTTTCGTCAAGGTGAATACAAATGTAAACTTCTCCCACCTTATCTCTAGGTGGAAGGAGTGTTGAAGAACCAAGAGGGTAAGTGCTTACTTCGGTTTTCCACTACCACTATGGCTGAAGTGGCCTTTGAGGCTGAAATGATTGCAGTCTATTGGGCACTTAAACTGGCTTGTTTGTCCAATTGGTTCCACCTCTGGGTGGAGGTGGACTCCACAAGACTATGATGATATTAAATATTAAATGATACAGAAGCACCCTCCTGGAGACTATCTCAATGACTGCAGAAGATCAACTTGATTAAATCTTCTCTTATGGTCAAACTTTCTTTTGTTTATAGGGAAGGAAATTGCCCTACAAACTGGCTTGCTAGAAAAGGAATCTCAACTGCTGAAGCTAAAGTTTCTTCTCTTCCCCACTCTCCTCTTCTTTTCCCATTAAAGGTTCCACACCTAAGAATTGTATCTGAAACTTTCTTGAATTAGAAATCATTATATATATATTATATATAATGAATCTATTCCTTTTCTGGTGGCTTGTTTCTTCTGGATGTCCAGGAAACATGCCAAATTTGTTTGAAAATCTCCACAGGTTGCCCAGGTGGTCAGAAACTGTGTATCTTACCTCTCCAAAATGATGCAGCATAAAAATTTCCCTAACATTTGCTGCTCCACTCTTACAGGTAAGGTTGCCTCTCCTCTGATCTGCAAAGTATATTGGAAACCCCCACAACCTTTTACTATTAAAATTAACACTGATGTTAGCTTCAATGATATGGGTACTGGGGTGGGGGAGTAATTAAAAACCATTCTAGTCAGTGCCTCCTTTTCTTTCATGCTCTAGTTATGGCCACTGATGCACTTGAGGCAGAATTTATTGTAGTATTTTGAGCTCTGACCTTTTCTTATAAATCAAATTGGCTAAATCTTTCAGTTGAGGTGGAATGCACTTTGCTGATTAAACTGTTGGAATCTGAGGAGCAGTCTACATGGTTTCAGACCCAATGGATCCAGAAGATCAAAATCCTTAAATCTCTTCTCAATGTCCACTTCACCTTCAATTACACAAAAGGAAATAAACCTGCAAATTGGCTTTCTATATATATATAATCATGTTGGAGAATATTTTACTCTGTTAGGGTTTTTCCTCTAGCCATGGAACCTGGCGTCTTTTTTGCTCTTTCGGTGGCCTTTCAATTGTTGTTCCTATTCTTTCATAGTCATTTTATTGCTTCTTGAAAGTTGGACATACCAGTTGCAGTGTTTTACTACTTTTAAAGTTTCCTAGGCTACTGTCCTTTTCAAATTTGTGGTTGGTTATTATTCCATTGATGCTTGCTTCACTGTTCACTTATTCTTCACTTTACTATGGAAGCCACACTCACCCAAGCTGACCCAAACATTATTGGTAAGTCTTCATTTACTGAAGTTGTTGCCATTGGTGCTTCTAGCTTAGGGGATAGACTGTTGTTTCCGTAGGAATATCATAATTCTTTTGAGAGCTTTGAAGATTGTCCTTTACTAAAAAAGGCTGCAAGAAAAGTGGAAAGCTTGCTATCATCTTCTTAGAAGCTGAGGTTACTGAGCTAAATGAGAAGTGCACAACCAAAAATGAGGTCAACAGGACATTCTAAGATTTAGATAATTAGAAAAACCTTTAATGCTTTGAAATTATTGGGATATTGGAAAGTTAGGTTGTTTAATGGTAGGCATGTGATGATTCAGCTTGTGAAAGAAGAGGATTATGCTAAAATTTTCTCCAAAAAATTATCTACATTGAAGATCAATCAATGAAAAACCTAAAGTGAACACCTGATTTTAATCCTTCACAGGAACCTCCAATCATCCCAATTTGGTTAATGCTCCCTGGATTGAAATGTTGACCTCATTTTGGAGGTCTTCTTTTCCCCTTCTCTAGATACCCTAGGATCTAGCCTTACGTTTTCCCAATTTTGACTCTCTTAGAGGACTAGACTGGGACCCACACCCCTTTGAAACTCAAGCCATTTCTACGCTCTTTGCAGTCTTATATGGACAGTTTTATATCCTCAATATTCAATTGAGTCGATCAAAAATCCAACATATTGAAACTCAAATTGAGCTCCTATAGAAATTTGAAAGACGTAGGTGGTCACCGTGGTGCGTGCGATGTTTGACTTGCCACTACGAGCGAAATGTTTGACTTTGGTCGTCACTTATGTGCGGACCGGTCAATAATATACTCGTTAAACGGGTGCCGCTCGGGCCAAAATAATGTCGTTTGTCGCGCCACACACGAATCGAATTTAATTTGGCGCGATCTTCGATGACTTTGTCCAGATGATTCCGGATGATGAAACGGACTGCGCCTTCGCGTCCGGAACATCAATTTTAGCTAGGGAGGACACATATTTTTATTGGGCGCCACGCTTCCACAAAATTTAATATTTTCTTTAAAAAAAATAATAATAAAATCTTTTTTTAATAAAATGGTTTTTTCTAAACTCCCTCACGCACTATTCCCCTTCTCCGCTTACGCCTTCTTCCTTCATGCCCTAATCGAACCCTCGCTTCCCTCATCCGACGATTGCCTCGTTCTGGAAGCTTCCTTCTGGTTTTCCGGTCACCTTCCTTCTCTCCGAGTCCTCTTCATCAGTTGCTCCACTGGTAGGGATTTTTCCCGCCCAAACGAGTCCGGGTACCTTCCTTGTCAATCTTGGTCAGTTTCTTGCCCTCTATGGCATATTCCCGTCACCGCCGGTCTCCCCCGGCGGTAGCTTCGTCGGTAAGCAATCTCCCACTTCTCCGACTATAAATACCCCTCTCGCGATGCCCTAGAGGCTGGCTCTCGGATCACTCATTTGCCTCCAAAAAGTTTCTTCCCCCAAGCGCAAGAAGTCGCACGCGGAGAACTTCTTCCTCCGATTGTCTAAGACTCAAGGATCTTCTTTCCCTCCTATTGTTTAGAGTTAGGATTTTTGATCCGTGTGCTAAGAAAGAATTTCGGGCTGGCCTCCCTTCTTCTTCACGATCGACGCTCGGTGCTCCCTCATCGCCATTACAAGGTTCTTCTTCTCCCTCGATCATTCAAGACAAAGAGTAAGAATCTTCTTCTTCTTCTTCTTCTTCTTATTACAATGGTTCAAGAATATAAATGATTTCCTTATTTTTCAATTTCTTTCTTCTATTCATCCAGATTGCCAGTAAGGATTTCTGTTTTGTTAATTGTTTGAACCATAAGAATATTCTTTGATCTGATTGCAAGAAAAAATCTCTCTTATTTTACATTCAAGCGATCTACTCTGAGTCTCAATTCCTTAAAAGCATAGGTGGCATCAGGTTTTTAATGAATGAAGAAAGTTCTAAGAGTAATGCATTCAACATTGATAATGGTGATGGAGTTGTTGTAGCAATAATCAATCTTCTTGGTGCCTTGGCTTCTTCTGGTCATTTGAAATTTAATTCAAATATTTCATCATCAAGCCTGCCAAATAATCTTCAAAGCAAAGGATTGTTTGATGAAGGCAGTAGCATGTTTGATGATAAAGTTTCTTTGTTACTCTTTGCTTTAAAAAAAAAAGTTTTAGAAGTAGCTCCTCAGAGGTTGATGACGACTAATATCCATATGGCTTTTCTAACTGCATCGGTTAATACTTCTTCTGGTGATGGACTCGACATTTATGATTGTGGTCATCATCTCGAGCATGTTTAGCTTGTCGGTGTTTTACTCCATGCTCTTCCATCTGTATCCTGAGCATTTCAAATTGAAACTATACAGCTGAAACAAATCCGAAGTTCCAGCTCTCCAAAGATTCATGAAAGCCCTGAAAAGATGGTCTGCCCTTCTACTCGTGATTGGAAAAGATCTTATGATCTTGATTTGAATGGTGAAGCTATTCAAGATCAAGATGACGATGAAGATTTTGATAACACGGGTTATTTACATGAGCAACATAAATCGAGAAATGGTCCAAATTTTTTGGTCGCAAGGGCTTCTCAAACTGATGAAATATCTTTAGAGGATGAGCAATGGAATGATGGTTTATTAGCCACAATCTGCGAGAAGGTTCATTTGGAAATTGATAGAAAGGCATCTTTGAATGAATCTAATGAAGCAAACATGCCAATAGATCCTCTTATGGACGCAAAGATCACATATAGGACTGGAAACAAGATTATTTGTTGCCTTGAAAATGCTAGAATTTGCATACAATATGAAACATCATTTGCTGGGGATCCATGTGAAATTTACCATTGTGTGCTTGAAAGCAAATTGTTTCTTGAAAATATGAATGTGATTCAGCATACCTTATCTTTCTTTCTACCAATTCGCGAAGCAGAAAACGATTTTCTCTCTTCTAATGCCATAAAATTCATAGACTATGTTGGTACAATCTACCAAGCATACGTGAACAGAAGAGAGCAACAAATGTTTCCTCCATATTGCCATGTTCTTTTTCAAATTCTACAAAGAAAGAAATGGATGAAGATAGCAGCTGTTTTGAAGTCCATTGCAAGTGCTAGGAGGATTTCCCGTAAACCTGGTCACGGTCAAGACATTGGAGGAGCATGAAGCTACCCTGGAGCAGACAAGGCGAGACGACATCAAACCTTGCATCGGTGAGATAAATCCAAAACCACTTGGCTTTTATTTTAAAATTTTTTCTTAACTTTTAAATTGTTAATATAAATATTGAAACATTTAAATTTACAAACTTTCAAACCTAAATTAATAATAACAAACACCAATTCTAAACACACTGTAAAGAACACATTAAATATTTATAATAAGCCATTTTAGATATGTTCTCTCTTCTCTCTCTCCTCTTCTCGGAACGAGACGATGGCGTGGTCGGTTGATGATTCATCTCCGGACAACAGTCAAGGCAGCTATTAAAAACGGAAGGATGAGCTTATGCAGAACTTTGATAGATTTAAATAACATACCTACAGGACGTCGAGATTGTTTGTTTGACACGACGTAAATCCTCACATTATCTTTTGGGACTTTCTTCGATTTTTATATCGTACGATATGTCCTAAACCTTTTTAGGCTTTCTGAGATTGTTGTCTGGTACGACATAAATCCTCACATTTTCTCGGGCTAGTTGCATATGACGTGCAGATACAAGTCCCGAACATCTAAATAAATTGCAGGACTAAAACATCACATAATTTCTCTTTCAAAGATGTAAAGCCAAACCATAGATTAGTTTGAGATGTTACTGAATCTCCTTCAGTATTTTTGACATCTCCTACTTTTCACTTCTTTGGATTCTGGAAATAACTGTTCCTATTTGAACCTATCCCATTTGACTTTTCCTATGAACAATCATGGAAACTTGAACGTTGAATTTTTGGAGACGAACCTCTGATCATTATCGAGAGTTTTCTTAGGTGACTTCGGTTGTCTAAGATGTAATTAACCATAGGGGCTTGCTCCTATAGGGAATTTAAGAGCCCAGATTAATCTAAACCCTATCTAATCTGTGTATTAGATAGAGGAATTTGTCGGCTATAAATTTTGCAGACCAAAATAGAGTCATAAACTTTTAAGTTTAGATAGTTAAGCCTACTAATAAATGATACGTTCATCCTTCGAGATGATATATCATTTATGATATTGTGCTCAGCTATTTAAACTATTAGATATATGAGGTCTACTCGGTCTCATCATTTTTTCAAAAAAATAAAAGATACCATTTTTCACAAAATTAAAATTACATTATATATATATATATTAAATTCTAAATTTAAATTTTAAAAAATCTTATTTTTCGAGAGAAAAATAGCCGACAATTTCTGGGGACTCCGTTGGGGGGACTTGTTCCTCTCTCCAATTTGATCAAAAGGTTTTGGTTTCAAACATCAGTAGTGTGCCCATACCCCTAATGGGTCGAACTATCATTCTTCTGTTGACGTACTTCACTCATTTCTTCCTTGAGCAAGTACTGTCAACTTTCTTTGATTCTGGAGCCCCTGTTTAATCATCCATAAACAAAAAGCTTCTGGAATCTTTTAATTCTAAATAGAATGGATTCCCAATAGGTGTGAGACGTTAGGAGATGATCCGTAGGAGTGAGTTTGATTCGAGAAGCTTTCTTTTTAAATCACGAGCACATGTACTACATACGCTACTCTTTCCTTTATTTATGACATTTTAATTTGATTATTTAAAACCTATAAATAAAACTTAAGATGTATATATATAAAGAAACTTGTTCGGATGAGTCTCGAAAGAGACACCCAGTTGAATGATTTGATTTGATTCAAGATAGTCGTCCTAAATTGCTGCAACCATGGCTACAAAGCATCGTGAGTCTAATTTGTTAAAATTTGAAATTACAGAAAATGACTACACCAAAGTTGATCTTCTCCTTCGACACTGGAATGGACTTGGCTGTAAATAAGAACGAGCTGCCTGACAGAGCCGTCATTCGCTTTGGACAAGGATTTGATAATAATGACATTAAGTTTGGAGACATTACCGTCGCTGTACTGAGAAATAAAACCCCTGAAATAGTGGAGCCCATAATGGAATTTAACTTGAAGTCGACACATGAGTTCCTACCTTTGAAAAGGGTGTCAGCTGAGAAGAACATTGCCACTGTTACAAAGATTGCTAAAATTGTCAAGGATACCATGGAGACAACTGTTACTACCCCCACCGCTCTAGTCACTGCACCTGACTTAAAGGGAAGGAGATTCAGGTAGATGACGAGCCTGTCGCTGTGGAGGGTTCGACGTTCTTGACAACACCTTCTGTGTTTGAAATAGGGTCTAGTTCGAGGTCTGCACCTCTGACCAGGACTCAGAGAAGGAACAAGATCCGGAGAATAGCTAAGATCAAGAAAGAGAAAGCTGCCGAGTTTGTTGCCTCTATTTCTTTGGATGAAGATGAAGAAATTGGATTACCCGAGACCTCCCCTCTCTTAAGAGGGAGCAGGTTTCATCCACCGTCTGCTGCTCTTGATGAAGAAGATGTCCAGAAAATCGCCGCTGCACCGTCTCAATTCTACCACCGTAATAATGAAGTAAAGACCAAAGGATTCGTGCCATTAACTCGAGTTCGTATGGTCTTTGAAAAACTGGCAAAGAAAGAAAGATGTTAGACGATGTTAATGAAATCCTCAATAGGATGGGAGGCGCTGTGTCACCCCGAATAAGGGGACAGATACTGAAGAACGATAGGTTCGTTTCGTAACCCGTGTGAAGGCAACCCGTGAAGAAATTTGAGAGAAGGCGAGAAGGTTTGCTTTTGCAAACCTCTCGGAAAGTTTGTTCAGATGATCGTCATTTAAGTTCCACCTCTGCCGCTCCACGACCACCCAGGATTTCTGTCAAACAACGTTTGGGAGCCCGTATTCCTCCCATTTCTGTCGCCGTCACTCCTACCGCCATTATTTCCCCAAATTTTAGGGGACGAAAACCCATTAAATATCGTCTTGGGCCAAGGATAAGTGTACCCAGGGTACAGAATAAGCCCTTATGGTCAGAAAGATCAAGGAACAGTAAGAGATTACCTATTGAAGTGTCTGGTTTAGACACTAGGGGGCCCGCCGATTCTCAGCATATGGATGTCACCAATAAGTCACTCAACCCCAAGATACTCGTATCTGAGAAGATGGTGTGGCGACCTAAGGTTGTTAAACCAACACATACGGAAGAGCCCATGATGGAAAATTCCACATGTGATGTGTTGTCCGCTACAATCGCCGTTGAAAACGTTGCTTGTCAGCTGTCACAGACTGATCTTAAGGTGTCTAAGAAAGACCCAATTGAATTAAAGCTAGAAAAGCTCATAAAAGACATTAAGCAGTTTTCTAAGAAAGAGAAGATGAATTGGATGATGAAGAGGATTTGATTGATTATATGGATGAAGAGTTTGCCGAGATAAATGTGGTGGAAACTCAAGCATCTTCATCCTTACGAGAGACACCAGGAGAAGAGAATGCTGTGGAAATATTACAGAAGATTATTCAGCAAAAAGATGAACAGATGGAATACATGAAAGCAAAAATGGAAGAAATGATGGCTGCTATTTTGACTTTACAAAGCCAACCACAATCTCCAAAGAGAGTGCCTATTGAGGTAAATCAACCGGATGTAGTACTGATCGACGATAATAAAAAGGAATCCACTTCTGTTAATAAAGAATAACAGGGTAAGAGAGATCATGTCCAGAATTCGATATCGGAGAAGGACATTAAAAGTATGATAGAACAGCAGGTGAAAGAAACCTTGATACAATCCAAAGGCGGTGCATCAATTCTACGGGGTAGACCATATCCTGAAGAATTTGATGCCGTGCAATATCCCAAGGGTTTCGTACTACCTCTGTTTAAAACTTTTGATGGAACAGGACACCCTCGGCAGCATGTGGCACATTTTCGCGCCAGTTATTGCAATGCAGGGGGAAATGATGCTCTACTCTTCCGACAGTTTGTCAGTAGCCTATCAGGAGTGGCATTTAATTGGTATGCAGAATTACCAAATGGTTCCGTTAAGACATTTGCATTAGAAGATCTCTTCATTAAACGATTTGTTGGGGCTCGACACCATATCACTGTCGGTGACTTGGTGATCGAGAAACAAAGAACAGATGAAACTAGTGGATTACATTCTACATTACATTCTATGTTGGAGGAATCTAAACATGAAATGCGAACCACAACTCCAAGAACAACATGCGATTGAAATCCTGTTAGAGTATTCATGGACCAATTGCTTTCCTCCTCAAGGGATTCACGATTAAAACTTTTGAAAAATTACTCAGTAAGGCCGGGAGTCTTCAAGAGGAAGCGAAACAACTTGGTTTCATTGAGAAATTTGAAAAACAGAGACTCACAAAAGTCTTCAAGAAGAAATCTGGAACTGTCGCAAATATTGATAAGGGTAAGCAGCCATTGGAGATAAAAGTTGAACAACCACAACCGAGCCATCCAGCCGAGCCATCAACTTCCTCAGCAATACCGTACACAATCATCCCAATAGAGGGCTTATCAGGCAAATAATAGATAAATTCCAACCTTGACAGAGTGTTTGAATAGAGTATATCCCTTTAAAGATGAAGCAGTTGGTAAAATGTTCTGCAATCTGATCAAGAAACCGAGATTCAGCTGGCCAGAACCAGAGAAGCCCGTTGAGGTTGATAAGAAGGATCACCCATTATATTGCCCATATCATAGAATGATTGGACATACTTTGGAGAATTTCTTTTCTTTCAAGAATTGGTTGCAATATAATCTCAGGGATGAGAACATAATGACTCCAAAAGAGTATATGAAAGAACCTGGACAAGGTTCAATCAATACACTTTCGGTTGATCCCACTGTTCCGATCGATCCTTATGCAGTCGATGATGGGTAGAATACAGTTTGGACGAAGTCTTCAAAGAAAATATTGAATCAAATTCAAAATACTTTAGTACAAGCTGCAATTCAAGATCGAGAACCTGTTAAGCCAGTATTGTCGATTACAGTAGAAGAAGATTCGAAGAAGACTGAAAAACCCATCGAAAAGCCAAAATGTGAAATGAAGCTTGATCATCCGAGATTAGTTACTACGGATTTAAGAGAGAAATCTCTCAAACCACTGACTTTGTATGATTTCTTCTTTGCTCCACCAGGGGCACG